GAAAGAGAGTGTGAAACAGGTCACCATCTAATCTTTCTCATTAGGTGATGTAAACTGAAGAGTCTTAAACTTGTTTCTGACTCTTCTGCATATGTGTGTTTTTCATTCATCAAATCACCTCTGAGCGTTTGAATAACTTGAACTATTATCAGCTCATCATGTTTCTACCTTCAGTTGTGCAAGACTAAAATTCCCAGACTGTTCAGCATGCTGTTTTTCAGTGTTCTATGAAACTGTAACGTACACTGCATAGACAATGTTATTTAAAAAACACTGAATAAAAATATGCCTAAAGAGCAAGTGTCAGTGAAATACTGAAATATCTAGACAGCTTCTCTTATATGAACCTGAACAGCACGAATAATGTGTAATCCACAGACAAACCGGACTGAGTCCTGACAATCCCAGAGTGTCAAAAGATACAGCATACGATACAAGCAGGATGTTCTCGGTTTTCTAAGGCATAATCTCGCTAATATCCCTATGCCAATTCCCATTTTCTTAACTTGCTTCTTAATTAAGAACAGGAAGCCTAGTTTTACCTTCCAGTTGTTCCTCTTCCCTTTAAGAATGAAAGCACTTTTGGCCAAGTTGTTTAAACCCTGCTGAGCTCTTAAAAATGCAAAACTATTTGCATGCCTACGAAATAAACACAGAACCCATTGTCATAATGAAAATTAAGCACAAATACTTCCAGCTAACCAAAGCATGAAAACAGGGCTGTCTTAAATTCCATATTAAATTATACTGCATCAGCTGTATACACACTGCCTTCATGGAAAGTGATGTGTAAAATGACAAGGGGAAAGTACTCCATCCTCACTTCCTACTTTGCCATCTGGTGCAAAAAGACCACAGGTACCACAAACCAGCACTTCTTATTTCTTTTGCATTTTCCCCTTCTTTTGTTATATCTCTTTACTGCTATTACACATTACCACTAGTTGCAAAAGATTTACTGTCTGAACTTTTCTATGCAACATTCAAAGCAATGGAAAACAGTGTTGTAAAACTGCATCTTAGCTATATATCATTGTGATTCTTCTGGTACATAGGCTTTCCTTATGTTTGAAAAGTGCCCATATTTAGAACAGAAAAGAGTTTAGAGGATTTTAACACCATAAATGATATTTAAAACAAGGAATGTGTTAAGAGATACACAACTTAAGCAAATTACTTTATGAGATTAACATAAATGTGACCTCATTATCACAGAGACTCCAACAGAGAAGTGAAAACAGTGCAACAAACCTGCTGGTTCTCTATCAGAGTCTTCAGGTGTAGGTTCATGGCAGTCAACTCAATCTACATCTGGACTGCTGCAATCCCCCTATGACTCTTCTCTTGGCTGCAAATTTTGCAGCGAGACAAACCGATCACTTTTTATGTAATACTTTTAAGTCACGCCAGTTATCTGAAGTAGCTCAGATCAGCTGATATGGAATTACTTGTACCTGTAGCTCTGTAAGCACTTTAAACCAGCATAACATGAAGCTATTGTTGAAAGAAGTAGCCTCCACCCATTTGCTGCTGCCCCAGTCTGCCCCCTGCCTTGTGCGAGGATCCAGAGGAAGTGCTGGCCACAGCTTTTGCAGGCTTAGAGCATTCATGGAAGTACAGGGTTAGGAGAAAAAAAAAATTAGAAGCTGTAGTTATCACCATCACAGTAGCTACCTGTATTAAAAGCAAAAATATGCCCAGTCCCAAACACTGAAATATTGTCTTAAAATCTTATTAAGGACCTAATTTTATATAATCCGAAAGATTTTAATAGGTATAAGTTGTTATTTATTGGAGGTCACGAGTTAGTAATCATCCTAATCATAAGTGATTGTCTGCTATGGGACACAGACATCACAGCAGCTGACTACTGAATTGAGAGTTTAAGATATGAAAAGGTGGCCTTCATTCATAAATTTTTGGTGTTTGGCTATGAACCAATGCCCAGTGTGTGCTGAGACATACAGTTTCTAGCACCTCTACTTACTTAACTAGCATATTTGAAGTAGTGATTTGCAATATCTCTAGTTTCCAAGATAAAATACTAGCTTAAAATGGCCTACTGGATATTCTACTTGCCAAGTATTTCAGGTAAACTTAAAATAATAAGATAATAAGCTAAGTTCCTGACAGACTGAAGTCTTTGGCAATGCTAAGCTTGGGCAATGTGAAATGTTTCAGTATCTCTTACTGCTTGCATCAATTCACTGATTTTTCAGCAAGATATTTGTATCCTCTTATTAGCAAGTATCACAATAATATCACCTTGTAATCTTACCACTAGCATCACTTTACCCTACAAATTCAACAGTACATTGATGGCAGCACTTACTTAAATTTGGAAAGACTCATTCAGCAATATGTACCTCCTGCAATAAGTATGTATAGAACAGTGAATTACAACATTTTTCAAAGTTAGACTAAATATTTTGTAGCACTTGTGCAAGTAAATCTGCTGCCTAACTTGACAGAGAGCAAGAGCTCTTCAAGTTCAGCGTGAGACAATGACAGTGCACAGCATCAGTAGTAGATGAATACTCCATTTTTTGCAATCCAATGTTTCTGTAAACACAACTTATTTAGCAGACTTTTTGGTTCAAGCTGTACAGATGGCCCCACTTGTGTTACAGAAACGCACATCATAAATTTTAGAAAATAGTAACCTATCTAAAGTATCAAATCAGACTTATAGCCAGGTAAGCAATCACTACAGAAATACAAGAAGATGTGACTTTCATCTGGGGAGATAATTCTTCCTTTAGCAAATACTGTCTTATATTAAGCCTGCTATTGACCCGGATAAGCTGGATGTAGAATGAGAAACACAGTTGCAGAGTTTTCAGAAGCATAGCACAACTTTAGCTTTTGCTTTAAAAGACCACTAAGCATTCGGTCAGCTTCAGTTTCAAGCTTGTCAGTATGTGTTATCCTGAAGCAAGGAGCATAGTTTATATGCCATAGCAAAGTAGCCAATATAAAAATTTCTGGTACAGGAATCAACAGGTGTGTCCACTTAATGCTGTGGCCTGCTACAATCTTGAGAATAGACATCAAATAAATGAAGAATAGCAGGCTCTCACCAGGGCCCACATTAGGCTCTTGTTAGGAGCGACCTCCAGTAGGAGTATGGCCAGTTCCTCTGATCATATGGCTATCTACAGTCAGGATGCCTTTGGGTTCCAAGGTAAGAAGTTGGAAAGATAAGAAGAAGTTGGTAAATAATTTCAGAAAAAGCTGTGGGATATCTCAATATGTTTGTAAAAATATTTGTGCTACTGAGGGATGGTAAGAAAAATTCGCTTGTACTAGTGAACTTTTAAAATAAAAACCCTAAACACAGGTGTTAATTCTATTCCCACTGTGATACATAACAAAGATTTTCTGACAGCCATGAAAGAGGTACCTTAGGGTACACTTATGCTCTTCAGAAACTGCTTATTTGGTGCTTTGCAGCATCTTCTACATTCTTTTCCAAAAGACTGGATTGGGAAATATAAAAGGAGGTGGGATTGAGGTAGAAGATGTCCTGCTGAGCAAGAGTACATTTTCTCATTCATCTGAGCAACATTTTGCTGGTAATTATCTGGCTCTCACTTTTCTTCCACCAAGAGCAAAGCAAACTGAAGTATAGCATCCAACAATAGTTCTGGGAAACGGGCAGAGGAACACAGCACGATCAAAGCAAGACATTCACCATACTGGGGAACCTGCTCATCATCAGAACGATACGCATCTTTTTGAGAGAACATCTGCTAATACACCTTTCTTCTAGTGTCCACTGCTTCCGTGCCCCAAAAGCCCTCCACCTCAAAACTGAAAATCCT